TCTCTTTCAAGCCGATTCGACAAATCATTCGTCGTCTACTCCAATAAAGATCACACCTTTTACCTCACACCTTCCATTGATACATTCTACCGCAAGGACGCTAGGGATACGGAAGAACCCGAGTTCCCTTTCTTAACTTNTTACCGTCAACTCGGACCCTTAAAGCTTCCAAAGATGGGAGAGTATGAGTATGAGCTCCTCAGAAGGTGCACTAAGACCAAACACTTGGTGGAGACACCTTCCGGTGAATTCTTCATCATTGTCAATTATGCTCTGGCCACTTGTCAGGGGAAACCTGTCTTCCCTTGGGAGACACAAGACTTGGACCCTATGGAGGTCAAAACCGGGANAATGTGGTTCATGTTGTATAGCAGCCATGATCCAACTACAAGGGTCCAAGACATTGGGGATCTCTGCATTTTCTTAGGAAAAAACGAGCCGTTCTGTGTCCCCGCAAGCATGTATCCAGGACTGAAGCCCAACTCCATCTACTTCACTCAACGGCATGAGGTTTATAACTACAATATCGTCCATCAAACCTTCTGTAAACTCCCTCTTGGTGGCGGTCTGATTTCACCTATCTGGCTTCAGCCCATATGAAACCAGTAATCTTGGTTAGNATAATAATTNGTACTATTGTGGGTTGCATCATTCTATCTAGTACGTGATGATGTTGTAAGCATCAAGTGTTAGNTGATCTTGTATGACTAGGAGAATAAATCNTGTTGGTTGCATCACTGTATCTGCAATTCTAGCTAGAACAATCGGTGTGTTTAGCATCAAGAGTTAGTTATGAATCTGATGTTGTATGATCAATTGTGAGTTTTCATCTTTCTTTTCTATCTAGCTCAAATGTTCTCAATCAAACTTTCTGGTTGTAATACTGAGAATTACGTTTTTTTGGATTGTCTTTTTTTTTTTGGGCAGCAGATTGTATGTCATTTCATCAAGTTGAACGTGTTACATCAGGACACAATCTTACAGCTAGTTTAGCAAGAGCATCAGCCAAAGTATTTCTGTCTCGCGGCACATAGTTGAAGTCAATGAAATCAAACTTAGGGATGAGGTTTGTAACGGTCTTGGAGAACTCCTGCAATTTCTTTGTTAGTGTTGCTTGAGTTTATAGCCCCTGTTAGCGTCCGTGAGTCAGAGTGTACTCTTAGCTTTTTNATTCCCCTTTCTAGTGCCCTGAAGAGGGCGAGACGAACCGCCAGCGCTTCGGCCATCAGTGGGGACACAACAAAAGACTCTGGTTGCGATCTTTTGGTCAACAGTGATAGGGGTTGTTGTGTTGCAGTTTTNTGTTTGAAGAATCCAGCCTAGTCCTGCTAAAAGAGTATCCTCCTTCCATGCTCCATCGGTNAAGCAGAGGATGGTGTCGAGNGGTGGCTTGGGAGGCAGTGCAGTTTCATTATGTGGTCCTCCTTCTGGTTTACCCCCTCGCTGTGTTACGTACCATTCCCGAGCGTCCGAGNTTGCCTTTGTAATGGTTTCTTGTTCCGTAAGTCTTTTGGTCTCAAAGATAAGTTTGTTTCTAGCAAACCATAGGGACCAACATACCCATGGGAAGAAGAGAGGTCCGTCACAAATACCAACTTGGGGAGGCACTCAAACTTTTTCCCATTTATAATTCCCGTTTTGAAATCCTGTATGAGCAAGGGATCAAAAGGAATTCTGAAAGGTGCAAGAGACCACACTAAACCCTAAACCCTATGAACAGTGCCAACCCTAAAACCATGTGAACAGTATCAATCCTAAACCATGTGAACAGTATCAACCCTAAAACCCTATGAACAGTGCCAACCCTAAACCCTATATATTTTTTTAACTATTTTTGAAACCATGACTATTGTGAAAATAATTTTTGAAACCCTAGACTTTCTTAAAATTTTTGAAATCTTGAAATGGATATGTACAACTAAATTAGTTTTTAGTTCTTTCTTTAGTTNTTTGTTTAGGATTGTTGACATTTCTTCATTTAGCAAAATCTCATAATTTTAAAAACTCTTTTCATTTAGCTAAATCAATTTTTTTTGGTAAAGTTTGATAATCTGTAGCTTGTTACTATTTTAAATTGTAGAAATTATATACCTTCCACTTTGGATGCATTTTGTTCATTTTTTTTGTCATATTGTCTTGGATTTA